ATGGTAATATCACAATTTAACTGACAAGCAATTTAACATTAATATTTTAATGATGCTAATAAGTATCTTTAAAAATTGTAATTAATTTAACTTAACAATTTTACTTAAATTTAGTTTATTATTTACTAATTGTAAGTGCATACGTTGATATGGACGTTGTTTACTATGAAACTAACTTATAAGCAAACTATAAGCAACCGCAGAAATAGATTGATTTACATTTTGACATATATGGAAGTTAAAAAGAACAAAATGTTATTTAACTCGAGGGATTGAGTTACCAATGTCTCTTTATCTAATAGTGCTCTCATGTATAGTCTGCTAGTGCTGTACAGCTCGGTAAAGGAAAGTTCCGCGACATTTATTCTGCTCATTAATAATCATGTCAAATTGGCATTGAAGTCGAAGAGATATACTGTCTTTATTGCACAGTCCTTTACAATGACATTTAACGATCCTAACTCTTTTCAGGATGGTTTTCTGTGATATCTGGCAATAACACGACGGGCAGTGCTCGTGTCTACCGAAGAGTGGACTCCTTGGTGAAAACGGGAGTGCCTGCTTTTTTGTTGGCGACTCCTTTGAGAGCCTACACGTTGACGCATTCGAAAATGGGTAAGTATATGTGGACAAAAGAAGCTGGAAGGTGTCGCGCGCGATTGCTCGCGAAATGTCAAACGGTGCAATGTTCTTGACCTAAATGTATAGGAATATCGGTGCAGCGTAGAAAGTGCTATCTTTCTCTCTGTCTCTCTTTACTCTTTCTCTCCTCATCTTGCTCGTTTCGCGCAGAAAATAGAAATACACGTTCGGAAATAACCAGGAGTTATCTCTTTTACGATCGTGTAAATTGCCGCTCTTTATAATTTAAACGCATCCTTCTATAACAAAGGGTCACATTCACGTCACAATAGTTACAATAATCAGGAAGAAAATATGATGTCACTGTGAGATTGTCATAACAAAATAATACGTGTTACAAAGACATTCACACATCACCATGACATTGCTGTGACATCACATTTGTGATAAAGCGGACATTCGCACGTACATCATCATGGCATAATTGTGACAGTTGTGATGTAACTATGACGTTTTTTGCTATGGGGGATCGACACTAATAGTCTAATAGACAACAAGCAAGTAGAAAGTTGTATTAATTCCAAACAAATAAATAAAACTTTAACAAACACTCGAGGCGCAAAGCCGTTAAAATGATTAAGTTTTAACTAAATTTATGCGGAAACAACTCCATTTACGTACTTACGTCTATACAAATGCTAGCCATTTGCTTCTTTGCAACCTTGTTAAAACCGCAAAAAGGAAGTTTCGAATCTTTTTCTGCCAGACGATGCGGCGGTCAGACGTCAAGGTGACGTAAATTGGCTAATAATAGACCGATGACACACACTAATAGGATATAAACTGCCGTGCGATAAAACTAAGACCTCGTTAAAACGGGAATATCGACAAAAACAGGAGTATAATAGCCAGCGCGAATAGTGATCAGCCTACGACTCTTAATGTTAGGTCGCGAGAATATCGGACATAATTGAAAAGAATTTCTGTCGCCTTTTAATACCATTTGGTACCGTTAACGATGCTTTTAGGACACGACTGTTAAGATCAATTATGCTGGGCTTTCTTTGAGATTCAATGCGTTGTTAACGGGATAACCGCGTATAATTTAATCGGAGAAGACGAACCGTCGTTGCATCGATTACGACGTACTTAGCGCACGCCAATAGTGTCACGGCTGTAATTTGCGCTCGTCAAGTTTTATGCTCGCATCTTTCAGAGAATGGAAATCTGCGGGCTCATTATACGAAGACGACGATCAGAGCTGGCGAGATATTGCGGCTTGTAGCGGTCTTCCAGGATACGAGACGGTGTAGCTCGGTCTCCTTTAGCATTTCTGGCGGGTGCCCCGAAAAGGACCAGTACGCGCAATGCATCGACCTTCATGGACGAGAGGTGTTTGCCTCATTATCGACCAGGGGCGAATTCTATGCGATCTGTCAGGGCGGAAACGACACCGGAAGCGACGCGGTGCTCTACAAAGTTCATCATCTCGCCAAGAGACAGTTGCCTCTCAGAGTGAGCCGCGTCTATAACGTTATACATTTCTGAGGATTAATGTTAAAGAAACATTTTTTTCGTATCATCAAAAATAAGTGAAATATTTAAGATTTTTAATTTAAGTAAACCCATCCAGCATATTATTTTATATATTTTACATTATATTTTATATCTCTCCTTCGTTTACAATTATTGATTAAATAAATCTTCAGGTGCGACTAATAGCAGGACCGCTACCAGTGCCGTTGCCAAAGGAATATGGCGGTCTAATGCAATTGGAGACATCGACGCGTGGTCCGATAGTATTGGGCTGCGTTGTTCCCGAGAGACCGGTGCACAATCCGGAAATGCTTGAATTGGTCGTGTCTGGTAATGGAGCGCCGAGAGTACGAAGAGCTCGGTTGGGTTATCCTTCGGAGGCGAGATTGTTAGCTTCCCCGAAAATGCAACGATTATTATCAGCCTGCAGGTAAAGCCATTAATCGAATTTAAAAAAAACATTATTCTTTAGTAAAATAATTTTCATTATTTGCGAATTGCAAATAAAAGTTAAATAACGTTATTTGTTGTTCATTGATCAAATAAAATTTTGTTTTGTATTTTTCTGTGCACTCAGAAAAATACATATTGTATTCAAGTAATAATTATGTTTTAAATATTTCAAAAGTTCACATGTCCACACATTTATATTTCATCATAAATTCATTACAAGCAGCAAATTTATTCAAACTATATTCTGAATCTTAGTAAGTTTACTACTTCAATGAAGATTATTAAAACAAATTCGATTTGCTATATAAAATCGTTTTTTCGATAAAATTCTTGTTTCAATTATAATAAAATTCATAGTAATCGTGTTCATCTAAAATTTATAATAAATATTTTAAGAATATTATAAAAAAAAAATTCTTTGTTAAAATAACCGTTACTTAAAAGAAAGAAAATAAATTGATTGTAAATAATCACTTTTCTTATGTCTATTTCTATTAATTTAGATTAACTTCAATCTCGATTTAACTTACCTTTTTTATATCTTTTTCTGGTCTTAAGAATTAGAAAAAAACAAAAAGTAAAGTAAAATTATGGTTAAGGTTAATTTATCGAATAGAAATGTACATTAGCAGTAAAATGATACATGTGGTCGCTTTCAGCGCGCTGAGAGCACATGTACAATGGGCTCGTGCTTGTGTGTGTAGCTACCGGTTTCGCCAGGCTGCCGTCTGATTCAGTGTCGCTGGCTGAGTAGTCAGGAGCTTTAGGGGCTTTGCACAATAAAAGGAACAGGGAACAGAGAACAGACAATAAGAATTTCAACCTATCAGAAACTGTGTATTCCACAATACATGATTTTTGATAGGTTGAAATTCGTATTCTCTGTTCTCTGTTCCTTTTATTGTGCGGAGCCCCTTAATGTATCGTGAAAAATCTCAATCATTAGCTCGTCATAACAGAATCTATTAGATGTACAAATTAATTCGGTGTCTTTATCGAGTCAAAACGACCAAGTTTCTTCCGCAAGGGCATTTGTCAGTTGAAAGATGGTATAAAGTCCATCGAAAACAATGGAGATTATTTTGAATATTAAATGTGTACTTGTTTTGTATGAGTAAATTTGTATTATGAAAAAAGGCACCGAATTAATTTGTACACTTAATATTACAGTAATTCTACGGTGAATGAACTAATAGATGCTTCTATTTTAGTCGAACAGTCGGAGATCGTGCAACGGAACCGCGAGTAGCTCCTACGAAACTGCATCCATCGACCATTGAAAGTTTGAAGGAGATGCATTTGAAGAAGATCAAACCGAAACCGGAGACCAAGCCGATTTTACAGAGTTTGAAGGATGGGCTGGAGAACCTAAAGCGGAACTCCGTCAAGGAGCGGAATCAACAGACAAAACAGAGCACCGGAAACGGCATTCTGGAGAGGATCTCGAAACTCACTCAGGGTAACAGAAATCGCAATCCCGCAAAGAAGTCAGCCTCCTTCACGTTCGCAGTGAGGCCAGAAATAGCCATGAGATCTCAGGAGCGTTACTCCAGTCTGGAGCCGGAAACTACCTCTCATCAGACCCGCCAGAATCAAAACGCCAAGCAACCGGTACAGAGATCCGTGTCAACCAGTGTATTGGAGATACCATGCGTCGAGCTACAACCTAACTATTCTCACGTGAAGGACAGTCTGACACCGCTGCCGTCACTTCCAAAGTTGGTCAAGACCAGCAACAATAAAACCGAGGAAATCTATGCTGAAATCTGCGATATAGCGACGACGAATCAGGCGCAGAAGTGTCCAGGTAGTCACGTAATGGCGAGAATCAGGATCGTCGTGCAAGGTAACGACTCGTCCTTAGGAGCGCACAATGTGATTGGCAATGACAGATATATGAATTCAATGGTGACAAGCGAGCAGATTGACTCGATCATCAGTACAGAGGATGAAGTGATCTATAATACTATATTTTAAAATTAGGATGTCGTACAAAATACATGTATAATGCTTATGAACGTAAGCCGAAAAAAGATTTCATTGTAACTCGAAACAGCGATGTATGAAAATTCCTAAAATGTAGGCAAACCGGCTGTGTTCATCGCGCGAGCGATCAACTTTCTATCCGTTGTTTCGAGATGTATCATATGTAAGAGAATATATTAAGAAAATCTGTATAAGTATTTTTGTAGAAAAATACAGAAATCTTCTGTACATATCTTTGCCATATTATTAATGTACTAACAATTGAGATAAGAACGCATTTTAGAAATGTTTCTTAGAACGACGATTTGTTCAAATTAATTACAAATGTAAGTGTAACTTGCGTTAAAATAAAATCTAATTTTTATTAAATTCGATTACTGTCACATAAAAATAGAGCGATCTTAAAAAGAAAAACATTGACTCTATCTGAAAAAATTTATATTTTATGTCTTTTTTAACTTTTTAGATCTTAATTTTTGCGTGTGTTGTCTTTTCTGAGATGTGGCATTGCTATCTTTACTTTTATCAGTATTATTTTCTATTACTTTTTTCATTACTTCGATAGCCTTTTGTGCATCCTGAGTTACATCTACGTTCAAATTAGTATCAAGATATTTTCCCGAGAATCCTTTCGGGAATACTGGCTTTGATAATAAAGATCGCAATTGATTTTTTTTTGCCTTTAATTGCCGTCTCAACGCTGCTGCTTCTTCTGATTCCGTCGACGATTCACTGAAATAAAAAAAAGATAGATAATTTACGCTACAAAAACTGAAAAAAAGTTTGTTATTTCTCTTACTCATCGTCCTCCTCGTCCAAAATCATTTCCATGTCCTCCACTGCTTTTTGTAACCAACTTTTCTGATTGTTCTGTCGACGATATTTCAATTCTAGCTTATCGATATCACGAGCGACGTTCACTCTTTCTTTTATGGTGATTAGTATTCTGTCTACCACCGGAAATATAGGCAAATCATCCGCTATAAAAACACATCCATGTTATATTTCTAATTAAGCATTGAATGATTGAAACAATACTATAACTTTAACATACTGCGTCCGAGAGTTTTGCATAATTTGATGTAATTCTGTTTTTCAGAAGGTTCCATCATTAAAACCGTGATACCTTCCTTTTGTGCTCTCGCCGTTCTACCGCTTCTATGTACATAATTCTGTAAAATAATTGTTAAACTGATTATGTAATCAATATTTTAATACATTTAGTTAGAATCTCTTTCACTAACTATGATTAACGCTAATCGATGGTTGACTCAATCATCACAAATGCCAACATGAGAACTAAACAGTTTGTCTTAGAAAAGGAAAAGAGAGGAGACGTTCTGATACATTAAACTGCTGTTGGCACTTCTATGAGTTGATTGTCGATTAATTTAACCAGAAGCTGGTGAAAAAGGCTCTTAACATTTGTAATAGCATCTTAGACATTCACCTCAGCTGTCCTAGGAACCTGATAATGTATCACATGCTCTATACTAGGTATATCTAAACCTCGCGCAGCTACGTCTGTGGCTATTAATAATCCATTCTCATCAGCTTGAAATCTATAAGGTTTCGTATCAATAAGTATAAATGTCACAAGAAATATTAAATGCACAGAATGATCGTTTTGAAATACATAAAGTGCTTTAAGACCGCGAATGTGAATAATGAAAACAATTCCTCAACGGAAGGTTTATTGCTTAAATAATATTTTCAGTGCAAATTTGTATATACTTTGAAATATCTTTTTTATTGTAACATTCATGTTACAAAGATAAATCCAAAATAGATATTTTAAAGTGTCATTCAAAATAGACTAACATATTGTGTTTCCTACCTTTCAAGATTTTTTAAGCGTTGCCGTTGCTGCATATTGGCGTGCAGAGGTAAAGGCTTGCATTCAAGTATATTGAAAAGAGTGGCCAATCTTTTTACGCATCCAATGCTGTTACAAAATACTAACGTCCTTCCGTTATGTCTTTTTAAGAAATAATAAAGATAATAATCCTTGTGGTCAATTGTGCATGCTATTCGACATTCCGTTAAGTTATCGACAATACCTGTGTGATAATAAGTATAGATTGAATAATTATAATAATTGGCACAGTTTATTTTGACTAACAATAGATAATTAATATGCATATGTACCTGATTCTTTTGTCAGATCAACGACTTTAGGATTTTTTATTTTTAATAACTGTATAATTTTTTGCAATTTTTGATTGGATGTAAGTTTACATATTTTACTCCTGACATAACGTTTCTTTTTTCTATCAAGGTAATCCGGGAGATCGTGTACCATAGTCAATGTAGCCGAAAAAACAAATGTCTGTCGTTTCTGCATTTTCGCTGGGTTTGCATTCATTTTTTCCAATAGATCATGTAATTCTTGAAAATGACCCTTTTCCATCATTCTATCTGTCTCATCAATAGCTAAATATCTAAATTGTATGACATATTTTCTATAATAATATATCTTGGAATAGATAGTGGAATCACTTCTTACTAGATCTTTAAATTACCTGATGGAATCTATTTGACTTAGATGAGAGTTGCCTTCTTGAATTAATTCCCACAGTCTTCCAGGTGTAGCAATGACAATTTCAGGTCCCTTGTTTAACATCCTTTCTTGTTTCACTGCTGCCATACCTCCAAGGACAACAGCTATCTAATGATATGATAATTTTAGAATTATATTTAACAAGTCTGTAGACTTTGAAAAAGATAATCTTACTTTAACATCTGTATACTTTGCTGCCTGAGTAAGATGGTTTCTTATTTGAATTGCTAATTCACGAGTTGGTGTCAAGATTAGTGCATACAAGGGTTTGGTTGGAATATTATGACAATCATGAAGCTTTGTATCATTTACAATATTCACATAATTCTCCAATTCCGATAAGACTATATTTTCTGAATCAGACTCTGAAAAATGATTATCTGCAATATATTTATGTTCAAAAGATTGAGTATAACTATAGTAATACTTGATTTTATTAAAAAACTTACTTCATAGAAAAAATTACTGTAAACAAAAAAATTACCTTCAGTACCTTTTTCAGGACAATTTTGATCTTTATTCTGGTTCTTCAAATCCAAAATACCTTTTATAATTGGAATTCCAAATGCTAATGTCTTGCCGCTACCAGTTTCAGCAGCACCTAATATATCTCTGCGACCTAATATAGCAGCTGGCAATGTCCGTGTTTGTATCATGGTAGGAGAATGAAAATTCTGATCAGCTAAAGCTTTTATTACAGCAGTAGGAACACCCATAGAGCGCCATGCTTCAGCATTAATCTTGGCCAAATTTTTATCACTGTCTATATCACAGTACGAATCACTGTCACTGTCAGAATCAGTTTGTTGATCAGTGATTTTAAAATTTGCTGGCTTTATTTTCTCATTCTTTATCTTTGGGCGTTTTACTTCAGCTTTCTTTATCTTCGATTTCTTTGTAGAAGGCTCAATGTTGTTGATATCAGTCTCTTCCTGTTCCTTTGGACACTTGCGCTTTGATACTGACTATAATATAAGGATTGTAATTTGAATAAAAATTTTAAGATATTAAAAAAATAGATACTCACTTTCTTTTCCTCAGTAGATTTTACTCTTGTTGTTATAACTTTGCCTTTTTTACTACTCCGCTCTAAGTTGTAATCCGTCAATTCCTCTATTCCAATTAATCCTTCTATATCGTTGGACAATAAGGAACCTTCTAACGTTACAGGTTTCCAACCATTATCGCTAACTCGTTTACTTTTCGTCATGATTGCAAAATATTTATTCCTATGTACATATATTGACGGAATTATTCACTGCATATCTTGTTAAATAATTATTTGCATATGATCCATTCAATGTGATGAGATAACCTCAATCAGACGATCACAACACGTGATTACACGTGGTTCAATTTTTTTCCACAATTACTTATTCGATTAGTTAACAATGAATGACGCAGTATATCGCTGATGATCACGCAATTAAGTGATAAAAATAATCAATTTATACAATAATAAAAATTAGAAAACGCATGCGTTCCAATCGTCCCACAATAGGCCAATGGACGTGTCAAGTTGACAAAGCTAGAGTATCATGGCAGAAATACAAGGGGTACAAAACCGCTGAGTGAGCTCTTGCATCTGATTGGTATATTCCATTAGATCTAAAAATGTAGACCAAACAGATACAAGAGCTTACTGTGCGTCAGTGAGCGTTGTGCTTCTGGGGATACATTTATAGGGTATGTCGATGTTGTGCATAGGTGTGTATGTATGCGCGGGGCGGCCGGCACGGGTGAAGGCTGTCGCTGTCGGCCGCAGCACAAATTTTGTAACGGCTACTCGCAGAGCGACTCAAAATCTGTCCAAATAGACCGAACGATGAGCACGATCGTGAGATGATGCCGGGCACCTCTCGCCAACTGGAAACGTCTAACGGTAGTAAGAAGTAGTAAGAAATCGTCTTCACTTTGCGTCTTCACATCTTTCAGTCACATCTTGATGATGAGAGAAACGGGGAAAAGAATGAGACGGTCGGTTGTCGCACCAATATTTAACAACTGACAACGGCTTCACCTCAATCACGATGTTGAGGATCACGGGTTTTGACTATCGTAAATCGCAACGTCCAATTGTCGACCGTGAACATCCACCGATCTCTCGTGTCAGTTGAGATCTGTGCGTCATTGTCGCAAGCTAATTCTCGTGGTGTCATTTTGACGTTAGGTTGTTGCACCTAGTATCGAGGACCGGTACCTGCATTCGCTCCGTTAAATTGCTCCAGAATATAATTGTATCGTCGCGTTTGACTAAAATCTTATTGTTATTTGAGAAATGTCGAGTAATGCATAATAAATTAATGTTGATGTATATATACGTTTTATGTACATTAAAAAAATTTTTTATGGATGGTATAGATTGTGTAAATAAGAATATTTTTTAATATAGAACGATATACTTGATTTAATATTGATGTGTAAATTAATTTATTTTCAATTTCAAAATCATGCATTGATGTTATATTTGTTGTTCAGATCTTGAGTGGAGCACTTTAATGGAGGTCCATCATGAGCCGATTGAAAAAAACTATCAGTTGCTTGAAGAGATTGGCAAGTGAGTGCACTGTTACTTCTGTACATAATTGATGATTTTGTAATGAAATTTTCTGTAACTTTCAATGATTTTTGCAATTTTGTGAAATACAGGGGTCAATTTGCTATTGTACGAAAATGTCAGGAAATAAAAACTGGAGCGCTGTATGCTGCAAAAATTATGAGGAAGAGACGAGTTGCCAGAGGTGTAGCTGCTGCTGACATTGGTAATATTTTTCTAATTATAATATATTGCAAATATTTTTATTTTCAGAATACTGTAATAGGATAATTTTTTTCAGCACGAGAAGCTGGTCTTTTAGCTCGCTTAAGGCATCCTAATATTGTTTCCTTATACAAGGTAATAGATACTGGAACAACAGTGGTATTGCTCTTGGAGTTGATTACAGGAGGAGAGTTATTTCATTGGACTCCATCCAGTGAAACAGAAGCCGTTCATGTGGTATGTAAATACGTTATAATTAGTAAATATCCTGAGAACTTATTCATATCCTTTTCAAGGTGCGCCAAGTTTTAATGGCACTTAGTCATTTACATTCCCACCAAGTTGCTCATCTGGATATTAAGCCTGAGAATATTCTACTATCGACACCACCACCGATGCCTAGCATTAAGCTAATAGGTAATATCTACAGCGCTTTATGTTAGAGTCAAAACAATTTTAATACAAATACTGTTCTGCAGATTTAGGTCTATCGCATCGACTAGTACCTGGTTCGGAACACAGAGCACTATTTGGCACACCTGAATTTGTGGCACCGGAAATCGTAAATTATGAACCACTTAGTTTGGGAACTGATCTTTGGGCTGTTGGTGTATTAACATATATTCTTCTGAGTGGAGCTTCGCCATTTTTAGGCGAGGATAAGCAAGATACATATGCAAATGTTGCTGCTTGCCAATACCAATTTGATAATGAGTATTTCAGTAATGTGTCCGAGATTGCCAAAGACTTTATACGATCCTTGTTGATCAAGGATCTGAAGTAAGTTGCAGAATAGTTGTGAATTTATTACTGATAAATCAGAGAAAAAAATTATTTTTTTATTTTAGGAAACGAGGAAATGCTGAATCGTGCCTTAAACATCCTTGGATTCTCACGGTGTGTTCCTGAAAAAAAAAATGACTCATATTGTCCGATAACAAAGTGATTTATTTTTGTTTTAATGTATTATGTATTGATTTTATGCATTTTTTTGACCAATGTGTCTCGATATGACATTGATTTGTACAGTTATATCGTATATTACATAATATACGAATTATTTTTTTTATATACAATATATGTTAATATGTCAAAAAACAGTACGCAAATTTTTCTTTATTACATATATACCTTGGTTATTAGAAAGTGCAATAATTCTTCAATTTCATTCATGTTACACAACACACGAGAGAGAGAGAGAGAGAGAGAGAGAGAGAGAGAGAACATTATTTTATAATTTCAATGAAATTTAATGACAATTGTATCAAGTTGGCAAAAATTGTTTTCTCTTTGTACTCAGGAATCTGAAGCTCCTCAAGGTCTCGGTGGAGCAATAATCAGTGCTGTGAAGCGAGGCTGTGTTGAGGCTGTCTCTCGGTTACTGAGACAGGGTGCTCTGTTAAACATGAAAGACTCTGTGAGACACCTTTTATTCATTTTGCCAATAATACATACCGGGTATAATTCGTGGATAAAATATAGTTGCTCTTGTTCCAGAAAGAAGATACTCTTTTGCATATAGCTTGTGAGGCCGGTGACGAAGGAATGACAACTTTTCTAATAGAGACTGGAATTGATCTAGACACCTCAAACAAACAAGGTCTCACGGCGTTACATGTAGCTGCTCGACACGGGCATATTAATCTGGTCAGACATTTGTGCCTTGCTGGTTGTGACGTCGATAAAACGAATCGGGGGATCCGGGCAGACGTCACGGCGATTAAGTATGGACATCCGGATATCGCAAGTTTATTAGATAAGTTGAGAAATGTAAGTTTATATGTTCCAAGATATGCAATGCTTTCTACATTTCTGAAGAATCATGCACTAATCGAATCTTGTTTTAAATCATTTTTAGCCAAATCAGCGCGAAAATTACATTTGTCAGCTGCAACCGACACGCAGACCGATAGATCGGCTGCACATAAGACTGCTCGGTCACTGCGCCTCTGGAAAAACATCATTAATTAATTCTTTGAAATCTGGAATATTTAGTTTCGGCTTCTTTCGGAGGTCGAGAAGCCAGAATTGTAGTGCGAAGGTAGGTGGCATGCGATAAAGATGCACGATATGATTAACGAATAAATAATAAAATTATATTGTGTACGATATGTAGCGAGAACCAAGTATCGAACTCGATGTGACGAGTAAACATGGTTCTCTCAGCTTTGAGTATAGTGACAGTGAATATGAAGGTACTCAGGGGGTAGAATGGAGTCGCGGTAACGTAGGTAAATTATATTCAATAATTTTTAATTTAATATCAATATATAGAGTTATGACTATAGTATAAGTTGAAAACTTATATATGTTTAGATATTTATACTACAATAGATTGATATTTATATATTACAATGGATTATTTTAAAGATATTATAGAATGTGTATTTGATTAACCAGGTGGTGAATGCGTTTTTTGGGAATTATGCGGACGCGAAGAATTTCTGGCATCTTATCACCATGTACTTACGTTCCAGCAACCAACAGTTCATCTTATTACGGTCAGTTTGAGAGAACCGCTGACTGTTCAACTTCAGCAAATAAAATTCTGGCTACAATTTATTTTGGACCGTATTAATCCGAGTAACATTGGTAAGATATTGTGGCGTGTCAAATCTTTTTTATATTATAATTAATTTATTTTCGTCAAAGGTACATTTTGATTTTTAAATCTTGATTTTTGTTTTTTTATTAAAGGATTTGGCGGCAAGTGCAACGACGTAAAAGTAATTTTAGTCGGTACTTATGCGCCGGAACCTTTAGCCCCGAATTCTAACGGCGGCAATCTGCTTGCACCACTCTTGCCATTATTAAAAGACTTTACATCGATTTTGGGGAAGGAACCTCAAATGGTAGCACTGGACGCAACTAATTCTTCTAGTCCTGGCCTGAAACTCCTCAGATCTTATTTAAATAATGCAAGAATGGAATTTTTCAAGGTGACACGATTTATATTCTCTGTAAAGTTATATATTTATCATACTTCATCTATAATATTAGAAGAGATGTTATCTCATCATTCACTTGTTTATGCAGAAATTAAGATTACAGAACAATCTCGAATTTGGCAAATCTTTTTCTAATGAGAATTAATAATCTCTTCTGATTTTACATCTTTACCATCGAATATTATACATATATCTTTAATCCACTCCAAAATATATATCAGTAAATGCATGATATCAGTATGCTTGATACTAAATATGTGCGAGCAGAACCGTTTGATTCTGCAGCCTGTTAATACAAGCAATTGTGACTAACGCAACCTTGTGTAAATAATCACATTTTCACAGGAAATTGTACCAATTTGTACAGCATGTAATAAATGTGCGCATTAACCCTTCGTGAAACGGTTCTGGTCAATAATGGATTACCTCATTACGCTGTTTGTACAATTCATTCATCAATCTCGAAATTCGCAGTGTCAATATACTGTCAAATTAGACATTGACTCTCAATAGAGGCAATGCAACAATTTCTATAATCACTTATATGATTTTCCTCCGACATCCATGATGCATGGTTGATTTGAT